CGCTCCGCGTCCGCGCGCTCCACGTGTGCACGCCGCCCGCTGCGCCCCGCGCGCGCCCGTTTTATCCCGGCCACGCCGTGTGAAGCTGCCCGCCGCGCGTCGTGCGCAAAAGCCCGCGGGGAGGGAGGAGGGTGGCCGGCTGCAAAGGGCGTCGCGGTGCTGCCTCCCACCCGCTGGTGCCCTCCGAGAGGCCCCGAGGAGCCCAGCTGCCTGCGAGGAAAATCCTAACAGCCTTCGCGCCCACTCTGCCCCGCGTGGGTAGGTCGTGTTATAGGACCTGGGTTTCTGTAATCCTTGGTTCTTGGTTACCCCGAGGGCAAGAATGTGGCCCCTTGGCTCGGAGTGGCGACTTCTGCGCCTGGGGCAGGGCATCACGCCCCAGACTGGACCCCGCTGGGGCACAATCACTTGCCCCCTCTCAGCTGGGAGACCTCTAACCAGCCGGTGCCTTGCCCCGCGGCTGGGGGTGCAGTTCATCTCCCTTCGGCGGGGGTGGGGGGGGGCGGTGCGCTCCTTCGGACAGGCGGGGAAGCCCACAGCTTTGCCGCTGAAGCAGCGCCCATTCTTCCCGTTTTAGGCGCTCTGATTAGAATCTGGAGTGGCCGGCTTTTTTATTCTGAGACTGAAGGAAAGTTACTAAATTACCCAGATTGGGATTCAGCTTTTGGCCCTCTGGGCTGTTTCCCAGAGTACTGTGACTAGAGGCAAGCGCCACCACGCCTGCGGGGAGTGGCCAGCTTTATCTCCACCTCTACCGGGACGGTGTGGGTGTCCTGCTTCACTGACAGTCGCCATCCGTCCACCACCACCACACTTTCTCCCATCCCCTGAAGCAGCTCAGGGGCCACCAGAAAGCTCGGCAGGTAAACACCTGGAACAACAACAACAAAAACCTGGGAGATGCAGGGAGAAGGTGCCATGTGTAGTGGTATGGATGGGAGAAGCTGGTCTGTGCCCAGTTGGCAACTTGTGCCCCACCTACTTGAAGGAGTGTCCCACCACCCAGGCCCCGAGGGTGGGGCCTGCGGCCTCCATGCTGGCCTCTAGCACGTGCCCGTGTAGAAGGCTGCTGACTTTCCTTGGGCGCTCACTCCATGAGCCCCAGTGCCTCCAGAACCATAGCTTGGAAGGTACGGCCTATCACAGAAACTAGTGCTGGAAGTGTAGCTCAGTGGTAGAGCTGTGACATTATGGGCTGAATGTCCAGCACCACAAGGGGTAGGGGGAGAAAAAGAAAGGAGGCTGGGTGTGGTGGCACATGACTATAATCCCAGCCCTGGGGAGGCTGAGGCAAGAGAATTGCTGTGTGTTTGAGGCCAACCTGGGCTACAAGCAAGACCCTGTCTTAAAACAAAACAAGAAAAAAAAAAGTGTAGGTTGTAGGCCTCTTGCCCACACCACTGGGGACAGGGAGCAGCTCTTTCAGTCGGTCCCCATACATCTTGTGAGGGACAGGGTACAAGGACCGGGGCTGGCTGAGCATGTCTGCCGTGCTTGAGTCCCTGCTCGGTGCCTTTCCACCTCCTTTGGACTGTGAAGATGGGAAATCTCAGACTTCCTGGTTGTTTTTAATTTTTTTTTCTTTTTCTTTTGGTGCTGAAAGAACTCCCTCAAAGCCAGTTTTCCTCTTACAGCACGATCTTCTCTTTTTTTATTTTTTTATTTTTTTGTCTTTTTGAGACAGGGTCTCACTGTGCGGTTCAGGCTGGCCTTGAGCTCACTTTGTAGCCCAGGCTGGTCTCCGAACTCCCAACGATCCTCCTGCCTCAGCCTTCCGAGTGCTGGGATTTACAGGCCTTCCTTACAGCAAGATCTTAAAGGACGATTATTGATCAAGCACCCTTTATATGGGATGGGGGTATGGCTCAGTGGTAGAGTCCAGCATTCATTAGGCCGAGGTTCAACTCCCAACACCAAAAAACAAAACAAAACAATCCTTCATGCTAGCCTTAGGTTTAAAAGGACAGGAAGAGCCCTTTGTGTGGTAGAGGAACCCTTTTATTTGCAGTCAACAGATATCCTCTTGGAATTTAGACATCTCAGGGCCGGATTTCCACGGCAAGTGCGCCAGAAATGCCAGTGTAAAGCTCTCCTTTGGTGGGATAAGCCCAGCCTTGCCCATGTCTTTTACCTGTCAGACCTGCTCCTCCACGCTCAACTCTTGTCCCCCGAGAAAAACAGGATGAAGAAAACCTCAGCTCGTTTGTAATAACAGGAAGAGAGCACTGTGCGTTTATTAAAACAACATATAACAAACTCAGTTCCCCCACGTCAGGGATGGGCACTGAAATACAGTACATTATCTCTTTCTAGGCCCGTGAGTGTGACCCAGCCCTCCCACTGGGGAAAGAAAGCGGGCGGCTCTATTGACCTGGCTTTCTCTCCCTTTCTCAAAAGCCAGTCAGAGTGCCCCAGCGTTATTATACAAAAGTCCCTTTACAAAAAGCACCACATTGGCATACGTGACAAGTATATACAAAAATCACATTTTAAAAACGTACAAAATATTTCATTTTGCACCAACGTAGAAAAGTGTCCTGTGTGACGATTTCAGGCACATTTCCAATCCTGGTTCAGTGACTGCTGGACACAGCGGTGGGGTTGCTATTCTAGTCCCTGTTCTCTGAGCAGAGGAGACACAATTCCCCATTACCCCTCCAGGGGCCCCGTCCCTCCCACCCTGGGCCCTTCCCCCAGTCTCTCTGCATCCAGAGGGTCTCTCACTCATCCAGCTCCTTACTGGTGTCCTGAAATAAAAAAGACGCAGAGGAACATGATGAGACAGGGACTCAGGAGCGGGCAGGGCTTACCAAGCTACAGTGACAGGTACGACCGTCAAACTGCATTTCCTGCCTGGTCTCTTCCTTTTAAAACCAAAATAGAATTTAGCTGCCAAAACACTATGCATTGCACATTTTATACAAAACTATATATTTCCACTGGGTTGGAACTTAGTCCCACAAACTAGGCTTGAAAAATAACAGTAGCAACCAGGTATGGTGGTGCACGCCTATAACTCCCACTAACCGAGAAGCTGAAGAAGTAGGGTCACAAGTTTAAGACCAGCCTGGACAACTTGCTGGGGACATTGCTCAATGGTGAAGGGTTTGACTAATGTGTGATGTCCTGGGTTTAATCTCCAATACTGCAGGAAACAACAACGAAAGTTGACAAGTGTTTGGCCCGGTAAGCAGATGCGTAGCCCAAGACTCAGAGAAATCAAGAACTGCTCAGGATCATACAGCTCTCTGGGGCAAAGCTGTGATTCAGGAGCCAGGCTCTTAACCAAGCTCTGCCAGGGTGGCAGCCTCAGATACCTGTGGGACCAGCAGACAGTATGAATGAGGCAGGCTCCACCTGTGGTGGAGGTGAGGCCAGGCAAGTCCCCAAGTACATGTCCAGCTTAAAGGGAACAGTCCTACCCACAGCTGCCTCTCTGGGCCTGAGGGGAAGTTAAAGCCCAGCATTGTTTGCTTTTTCCAAGTTTCCACCAGAAGTGGAAATGCAGATTACTAGCATAGAAACCTCCTTTTTTCTTTCTTTCTTTTTTTTTGAATTGTCTTTTTTTCTTTCTTTCTTTCTTTCTTTTTTTTTTTTTTTTTGAATTGAATTCAGGACCTTGTGCTTGCCAGGCAGGTGCTTGCACTGCTAAGCCAGATCCCCAGCCAAAATCTC